TACTACTAGTAAGGCACCTGTTACTACTAGCGTGGCACTTGTTACTACTAGCTTCACTCCCAACGTCGCCTCGTCCATGTCACGGATCGTCCAGGTCAGCGGTTGGCAGCGTTAAGGTCCATACGTGACAAACTCGATAGCGAAGCAGCAGCGGGGTGTCATTGACCTCCGGTATTTTAGCTGGACCCCTTGAAAAGTCCACAAGTAAGTCACATGTTCCGTATCTTTCTATCATTTTCCAATACTGTATGTTGAAATGATCAAGTGAAAGCCCAAAAACCTCTCGCCACTTGGCTGTGGTGCCCAGCCTCGTGCATCACCATAGCTGCCCGTGAGCAGAAGGTGTCTGCAGCCACTGGGTCCTCACATCACGGCCGTTCCAATCGCCGTTCCAGTCGCCGTGTTGCTATGGATCATAGCCCATGCAATCGGAGAAAGTTGGTCATGTCATAACAATTTGTCCGTTTTCGCCTATGAAGGAGTAAAGGAATCGACCAAAGCAGTCATGTGACACCAAGTACAACTCATGGGGTCACGGTCACTTGCCTCATCCTCCAAGTACAACTCCGCAATCTTAACATATTTCTCCGCCTCGCTGGCAAATCTTGCAAAGGCACACGGAAGCTGTATCTTGCAAAAATGTCCTATATAATTCTTAATGGCTAAAGTTGTTCAAGTCTCAAACTGTGACCTCCTCGCAGGCGTCTGACAATGACCTTGACAACCTGTCTTGACGGTGGCGCCTTTTGAAGCGGCGTTCGACATCGCGTTCCTGGGTGGGGCGTTCGACATCGCCAATTCTTCAAAGATGATGTTACGGATACTCAAAAAATGAGAACGAAAATCAGTTGTATTCCTTGCCACATCGATGCGCTTCAGGTCCAGTGTATCCAGTGTATCCCATCGTGTTCCATCAATCTCTATGATGAACAAACAGATTTACAATATCTTTGCGGGACATTTTGAAAGCAACGCAGGTTACTCACCATCAGCCCCCCAGATGCATCCCTCTCGCCTGACTCGAGGTTGATGGCGGCCAAGCATTTTGCGGCCTCGGCCCAGTCCTGAGAAGCAACTCAACCAAAAGGAGGTTCTCCTCAGCACCAAAACCAGATCTCACTCTTCTCCGCTTCATTTTGGATCTCAACCGACCATCTCACAGCCGGTGGAACACCTTCCTGGGATCGTAATCGCATGGAAAAAAACACCTGAAGCCCGGTGATGCGCTCTCAGGCCCGGCAGGGCGCTGGAGCGGCTGAAACTCTGCAACATCTGAGGCTTCCAGCACCCTCAGCCTGGAAGACTTCGGATAGAAGTTCTCGCATCACAAAGTCCTGCCCACGAAAGAAACAACGTCTAAGCCTGAGCCCGATCTCGAGCCCGAAGTTCTTGCGTTGTTGGTGCTAAATCCATATAGACGCTTGGATGGGTCTTCCTCTTGAAGGCATTTTACCTTCATTAGTGGGGATTGAACAGCTTTGAACAACGGTGAGGATGGCTCAAGCATCCAGGTAGTACCCTGACTGACAAAATTGAAGCCTACGACGGCTGGTTCCCAGCTTCTCGACACATAAGGGAATGGAAGGACTGTGAAAGCTCTGCTACCAAGACTCGCTTTAGCTACAGTAGCTCGCATGCGCATGACATCCATTCCCCACTTTGGAAGCAGACCCTCACTTGCTGTTGAAGTGCATCCCTCACGTACCACACTACCACACAAAAATAACAACGTAAACGCATGTAAACGCCAAAAAAAAGAGAATCCTCCCATTGGATCCTCATGGATCCTCCCACTCCAACGCAGTCCTCCTCCTCGAAGGAGACGACCCGGCCGCGGAGCCGATCCAAGGTATGGAGGGCCAACTCCTCGGAACGTCCATCGCTTCACGGACCCGGAACGAACCGGACCTCGGAACGAACCGGACCTGTGGGGGGGGGGAGAAAGACGGAGCCGGACACTCGGTCCTAGCTTCAGAGCGGTGTAACGGGCTGATGACGTCCTCAGGATGCTTCAGGATGCATTGGTTTCACCAGGGCTCAGAATGTTTTGGGACTCTCGGCGACCATCGGATAGCGGGGCAATGGCGAGGTTGCGCATAATATGACACGGTTTACATGCCAAATCTTGTTCCACATATTCGGAAGAAGAGAAATTTGATGCAAATGGCCAACCAGCAAGGCACTTGTGCATGCAATACAAACATGAGAATTCTAAGCTATATGACATATGAGTGGTCATTCCAAAACGACTCCACTCCAAAGTACCTTTGAGTCAAACAGCGCACTCCTTCAGCTCGGAGTTCTTCAGCTTCTCCATCTGCTCCGCGACCTCCGTCTCCGACCCCCGTGTTCCGGCACCGCGGGGGGGGTGTTCGTCTTCGCGCCTGCTGTAGCACGGGGCGCGCAAAAAGGGCGAAGCTGGATTCCTCCGCGCGGCGGTGCGGTCACGGAGAAGGGCGGCGTGTGGAAGGAAGGCGTTGATAGAGAAGATGTGCCATCGTGACTTGAAACTTTGGTGCGAAAAGGGGGAAGCCTCAACTATCCTCAACTTCTTTCAACGAGTTCAACCAGCACATGGGCTGCCAAATAGACAAACCCACAGTACAAAGGCTGGCACAGTGCTGGCACAGCACAACAGGTCGCTACCCTTCGGACACAAATGCTCAGATCAAAATGATTTTGCAATGAAAACCATCCCTGATGCCATAGCAATGACTGTCAGACCACCGTGCCACTATGGATGTGTCACATCATGCATTCATTGTGGTCACGTCAGCCAATCGGTCTGCGGGTCTATGCTGATATGTGAATATCCTACCGTTCAAATGGTCCTCCGCCAGCATGCAGTCCACCAAATCCTGGGGTGGTGCTGGTGCAGATGTTTGAAAAGCGGTAGGACTAGGCAATCCAGAATTAATCCAGATGTGTCAGTCTCACTTGAACGGTAAGAAAAGAAACCAGAAGACTTTGTGATGTCCCTTCGGAGCTTCTATTTCGGCAACAAGGCCTGGACTGTCACGTTTTCACTACAAGTGAAGCAGAATGGATGTTTCTGAAAGTAAAGGACCCTCGAACCATGGGATGTCCCCACGAAGCAGAATGGACCATTTGGGGTCCCCTAGGATATTTTGTGATGTCCATTGTGCAGAAACTCAGGCACCCTCCCACCTTCAACTGTTGAACGTCATGCTGGTCAACGAGACTTCTTACCTGCACAACGCGCCCTCCGCTCTGGGCACTGTGTGAGTGGAGTTGCATCCTGATACATCGGAGGTTCGCTTGATAAGCAACCGAGCATTCAAATCAACAGCGGGCTCATCTGTCTATGTGCAAAGGAAATAAAAGGAATTCCTCTCAGCCGCACCAGCTCAGTGAATTTCTCCATGCGGCCGGTCGCATCCGCCGTGGTACCTACCTGAGTGCCGAAAAGAAGCACTCAGGTAAGGTGGTGGTGTTGAAAAACCGTTGGCAGAACTTTCTCGGTCATTCGCAAATCATTATCAAACTTCTACAGTTCAGTTCTGTTTCTTGTCACGGCATGAGGACTGTGTACTGGGCCTAAAGCTTGGTCTAACATGAGTGCGACCAGTCGCACTCGGCATGCTCAGTAGCGGACAATGCCAGACATCAGCTGGAAGATTCCATTGCCTCACATACTTTACATATCTTGATATCCCAACACGCATCTCCAATTGGGAACTATTGAGGCCAAAATATGGGGCCGCCCAGATCAAGTGATCGCAACGCATAGGTGTCTGTCTTTGCATGGCAATGTCGGCCTTTTGTCGTCTTGACCAGAATGGGCCCGTGTGTTCTGGCTGTGATTTGTGGCGTGGCATCTCCTGTTTTGCCTTTGAAACCTGGGGCACCCTGCTGGACATGACGCACGAGCACACACGGGAGGCCCGCGCGGTCCCCCTCCTATCGCATGGCCACCTGAATTGTGAGCTAATCTGGCAAAACCTGCAGACGCCAATAAATACACAGTACGTCATGCGGCCTAGCAAGGTCAAAAAGTATCCAATATCAGCTTGATATACTCTGGCACTGTGCAAGATTTGAAGAAGTATTATTTGGCAGATCAAATTTAATCGACAAAAAAGAAATTAAAGAGATCATCCTGCACAAAGCGACCAATAAGTGCGCTTTGATGTGCTTTGTGCTGCAGCTTGTTTTCCCGTCACTCCGAAGTCGAGGAATCAACACCAGGCTACTCGTTTCAAACTTGTTATACACGGAACGAAGGTCAAACCAACTTCCACAGAAATGTTCAAACCCAATGGACACTCTGCACGATTGGGACAGAAAGTCCTCAGGCTTCTGTTGAGTGACAGCATGGCTCGAACTTGCATGCGTTTCCCCTGGGGCAACTTCCATTCTTCTTGAAGTCCCAGCAGGTCTTGTCGCCACCACCTTTGCCATAGCCTTTCCCAAAACCTTTGCCCCAGCCGCCGTATCCCATCATCATCTTCATCTGCTGGATTTGGCTTCCTGCAGCTCCCAGAAGCATCACCTTCTTGGCTGCAGGGCCCTTCTCATCCATGGACACGCTGAACTTGCACGGACTTCCCTCAGGGCCAAAGCCACCCGGAAGTTCTGACCTCAAGACGAAGACATCTTGATCAGGGAATGCCTCGCACGAAATGAAGCCAAAGCCTTTGCTCGGGTTGTAGCTCTTGATCTGCCCGTAGTATCCGGTCTCCTCTGGCTGGGCAACCACCGTCACGTTCTCTGCAACAGCTCCCTTCTCAGTCTGGCCGACGGTGAACTTCACTTGGTCTCCCTTTGCTGGACAGAAGCCCTTCAAGTCTTTCTTATGAAGGAACATGTCCTGTCCGTTGCATTCCACAAAGCCCCATCCTTTGTGCGGGTTGAAGGCCTTCACGGTTCCGTTCAGCTCCATGAGACAACAGTAGGTAGCGAGCGGCACCTGCTATGTTGAACCGGAAACAAAATCTAACACCGACACTACCTTGAGATGGAATGAGCATCATTGCATCGTCAATCACAAATTGGTGCAGTCACACAAACTCAATACGCAAGTATGTCCTTGCTGGAGACATACTTCTTGGACTATTTCAGTCATCAAATTTACAGTATGTGTTTGGCATGCAGGACACACACATGCTGCAGCACTGCCCTTGCTCAAAATCATACCCGTTCGACTGCCATATCTGGAGCTTACTAGTTTATGATTGGACTGAGTGAAGTCTCTATGATCATGTGTCTCCTCCGGTGACTTGTATTCTCCTCAAACCTCACAGCCGTGCTCTTCGGAGGCACTCTGCAACATCAAGGGCAGCGGCAAGTCTTTTTTAAGCAATCACATTGTCGAGCACAAGAAGTTCTCCCGCACCACTTCATGTCTGCAAACAAACCTCAGATTGGGCAAACCTGCGTAATAACAAAGGCATCCGAACAAGGTCTTGCGAACGAAAGACGAACCAAGGCCCAAGGAGTACAAGCTGCTGATGTTTGAAGAGTTCCTTGTCAATAATTGCATCCTGAAAAACCCTTTTCCGAGCTTTCTGAAACACCAGCTTTGGCGGTTGCCATGCAACCAGTCAAATCTATTTTCGCTCAAACCTACGGGAGCAGGGGGTAGCAGCACAATGCAAGTCGCTGTTTGAAGCTAAGTATATAACCCCCAAATCTTTCTACTCACATTTTCTGACCCCAGGTTCCTGAACTGTACAAGCATAACCAGAACATCAGCACACATCGTCCAGCTTAGACTTAGACAAAGCAAGTCAGGCGCAATACACTTTAGCAGACCTTGCAAAACAAAGTCCCTACAAAACAAACAGAAAGGCTCAAAATTTCACTACACCGGCCAAAAGAATAAATTGACTATATACTACTTTTGGGTCCCTGGCTCTTACTTTTTGAGACAGAGCGAGGTCATAAGGTGGAGAAATCTCTTCCTGTATGTTTCGGACTCGTCAAATTACCAGCCTTAAAAGGCCTGCTGTGGTTGAAGTTGGTTCACCCACCTGTTCCATCAGCAAGATTGCAAATTATATAACAACTATAAAGCCCAAACTAAGGCCAGGACCTTCTGACAGCATTCTCCAAGCCTGCCAAAAGGGGGGGTCAGAAACTGAGAGTCCCTCCAAATACACAAATACAAGGAAAAGCCTCCACCCTCTGTCGCTTCGTCATTCGCTTCGTCATTCGCTTCGCTTTTGCTTTGCAGCTCGTTCCCTCCCACCTTCTTCCGCATCTGCGGGCAGTGCCCACTGATGAAGCTCCGTGGCAACCTGGCAAAGAGATCATGCATGCATCCACCGGTGGGTATGGATCACAAACAACAAGGATGATGCCGGTATCGGGCATGTTTCAGATGTTTATGTCTAGAGTTGTGTTGCGCTAAATAAAGCTTGGCATTGCAAATTGCAAAATAACACAATTAAGGAAAAAATAGGAGGCCAATAAATAGGACAATGATTAGGAGGAAAAACATTGGACAATAAATAAGGAAAAAGATAGGGCGCACAACTCTAGAAAACACAAAACAAATAGCCAAGCAAGACGAACAGCTAGAAGCAATGATGCCGCAATAAGGATCACAAGAACAGAATCAAACATCTGCAGAAGTAAGGCGAACTAAACAATCAACAGTGTTCAAGGGAGGATGCGTTTCAAGGTCTTTGCTAGTTTTGCAGTTTTTGGAAAGGTGAGCTGCTTTCGGGTCAAATCGGGTCCAGACGGGCAATGGAATCCCCTGGGAGCGGTCCTAGACCCCCCGGCCTGTCGTGGCCGACCGCCCCCACCCCCCAACCCAATCCTGCCAGGACCCAGCTCCTGAGCTCTTTGTTCATGGTTGGTTTCCTTGTTTTTCCTTTCTGGCTGCTCGTCCATGTTGTCTTGTTCCTTATTTTCCATTGTTGATTGTGTTCCTATGTTTGTTCCTGATTGTGTCCTATGTTGGATGCTGTTGATGTCCTATTTTGTTTTCCTAAAAATTCTGAGTTTGATCACACCCAGTGGAAGCTGAACTTCCTCAACACAAGTCTAGAGTTGGAAAGTTGGTATGTAGCATGGTGGTTGCCTTCCATCCAACCAAGAGCTCCAGAACACGTCTCCATAGAACAGGAAACAACTTGGAGATGGGAAAGGCAAAGAACAGGGAAGATAGAAGAGAGGGAAGGGCAAAAGGAAGGAGGCCACGGGAGAGGCAGGAAGTCAAAGGCAAACAGCATAATTGTATTTCCAACAAGTGCGTCGTAGAAACGACTTCCCAAACTTGCAAAAGCGGCCAAACTGAGCATCAGCATGTATGAAACGCGCAAACAAGGTTGTTTTGAGTGCCCCGAACTTGGAGATTATTCAATTTTGTGGTTACAGCACGGATCACTTTGGTAACTTAGGGAACCCTACGTGCATGCTGTGTGTATATGTGTACACAAACTAACAAGCATATGGCTAGGGATTGGGAAGACTGACCAAGAGTTTTCTCAATGTGAGAGTTACTAAATGAATAACTATACTTACCAAGAAGCTACTAGGAACAAGGGCATCACTCCTAGTAACAAAGAGCA